TTAGATTTTTTAAGGGTAAAATTGTCAATTTGATAAAATATAAACTAATTTGACAAAAATAAATGTCAAACAAATATTTTTGAATTTTTAAAAATTATTTCTACCCACTAAAAATTAAATTATATAAAATTGATAAATCTTTTAGACATTTATTTATTTATTTTACCAAATTAATTTTTATTATGGGTTTGGATGATGATCATGTAAAATTAATTTAAAAAAATTAATCATGTAATTTTTATTAATTTTACATAATTTTATCATTGGTGGATGAAAATAATTTTTAAAAATTAATTTTTTTTTTGACATTGATTTTTGTCAAATTAGTTTATATTTTTATCAAATTGACGATTTTACCCTTGAAAAATTTAATGATATTTTCAATTGTCCTTATTTGGAATAAAATTCAAAATTCAAGATCAAATATGTTACAATTAAAAAGTCATAAATCAAAGTGACACAAATCCCAAATAAAAATAATTTTTAAAAATTAATTTTTTTTTGACATTGATTTTGTCAAATTAGTTTATATTTTTATCAAATTGACGATTTTACCCTTGAAAAATTTAATGATATTTTCAATTGTCCTTATTTGGAATAAAATTCAAAATTCAGGGTTAAATGTATCACAATTGAAAAGTCAGGGACCAAAGTGACACAAGCCTCAAACTATAGGTACTATTCAGTGTGTTTGGTTTGAGTTTTCTGGATTAAGTTTTTTAAAAATTGACTTTTTTTGGTTTTCGCATTTTTTTTTTTAGTGAATAGTTTTTAAATTGTAAACATTTTTTTTTTACTTTTTTAGATGCACCTTACTTAGATGTATCTAAAAAGTAAAAAATTTGTGCAAAAATATTTTAAAAAATTAATAAATACATAAAAATACAAAAAAATGTACTAAATTCTTGTATTTTTTTTATATTTTTGGTATTTAGTGAATTTTTAAAAGATTTTTTTTACAATTTTTTTACTTCTTATGTGTATTTATGTTAGGTGTGTTTAAAAAGTAAAAAAATTGCTTAAAATATTAAAAAAATTCAGTAAAAACAAAAATACAAGAAAAATAAGAAAGTAGAATTTTCTGAAAAGTGTTTTTTGAAAAGTGGAAACAAACAAGGTGATTAGTATAATTAACCCTAAAGATTAACAGGGGCCAAATCTTACAAACTTGATAGTTGCCCAAGAATCATCGTATGGAATTGGGCTTTGATCACATCTTTATGTATTTTATATATTGTTTTGATATATTATTATTATTTTCAGTAGGAATGCAACAAAATATGTGGAAGACAGAGCCTGCAAAGGACTGAGTGACCACTTCTTTCCACTGACAAATCGTTTGAGTTGCTAATAATATTTATTTATTATTTATTTTTTAAGAATCAAAATACATCTCAGATTGTTTATTTTAATTTTTTTTTAATTTTTGTATAAACTCTGTAATTATTTATGAAAAAAACAAAGAAAAAAATTGATGGCATATCTTATCTGCTTTGATTGTACATGTTTTATGAATATTTTATTTACTTTTAATTATTTCAAATAGTATATATTTATTTGGGGGCAAAGTTGTGTAAAGTTTCCTGTTGTCCATAAAAAAGTTTGAGAATCATGGCAATTAATTGAGCAATCAATAGGAAAAGGTTGTGGCTGATTATGGATTGTCATGAAATCATGCCATTTTCTTTTTTAAACCATCATTAGGTTGATATTTGTTTAACTATAGAAATTAAGGGTATCTAAACAAGTCTTCTCGAGTTACAAATGTGATGGATTTACATTTTCTCTCTTTTACATATTTTTCTCTCTATATTGATGGACTAATTTTATAATATACTATAAAACTCTTGAAAATCTTATACAAATTTCTCGTCTATATCAAATCGATAAAATCGAATGGTAACTTATTGTCTGTATCAATTTCTCAAATATAATCAATTTCTCAACCATAAAAATTGAAATAATTAATTTGTTACTAAATATGCCCTCAACACCAACTAAATCAAATAGTTTACACCCCTCGACTCACAATTAAAATCCAATAAACGGTTTCGTGCCATCTGATCACTCTTCCCAAGGCAAAACAAGCTGCCAAAATATGGTAAATTATAAATACATTTGAAATTTATTTAAAATATGAATTATACTATGTGGTTCTGAAAATTATATCTCACTTTTTAAAGTTTTTAATTTCATAACAAATAATTCATTTTATTATAAATGATCAAATCAATTAATAATTTTTAATGATATCAAAATTTTATTTTAATTATTAATTTAGATAATTTTATTATTGTATAGAAGAATAATTAAAATTTTTATTTTTTTAATTAATTTTATCAAATATAAAATTATGACAATGGGCACTACAAGAAAAATCACCTTTGGCGACTAAATTTTTAGTCGCCAAAAGTTGACTTTTTAGTTTCCCTGACTAAAATTTTTAGTCGCCGCTTTTGTCGCGAATACATGGTCGCCGGAGGTATTGGCGACTAAAACTTTTTTAGTCGGCAAAAAACAGGTCTTTAGCGACCAAAGTTTTAGTCGCCAATAGTGATTTACACTTTTGAAAATCATACAACTAATCCTTTAGTCGCCAATACTCACTGAATCACCGACTAAACCGTTTAGTTGCCAAAATAAAGACTTTTGGCTTATTAGTCGCCAAAGGTGCTTCCGTGAAAAAAAAAGTACCAACTTTTTTGCTTTTTTTGAGATTTGAACCACCAACCTGTCCCACATTCTAAACCTTTAGCAACACACTCTCTCCACTATGCCACTACAACACCACATGAATATATATGCCATATATATTATTTATATTTTATATTGACCCGTATTAATATAAAACTATATATATAAATATAATTATTTTTATTCAATATAATTTATGTAAAAAATAAATTATTTACTAAAAAAAATTGAGGCCGCTTTTGGCGACTAAATCCATTATTTAGTCGCCAATTCTGTAATTCTGGGCTACTAATTATTTTTTAGTCGCTAAAAAAATAAGTTCCGTCTAAAAATAAACAGTTTTGGCGACTAAACCTGTTTTTAGTCGCCAAAAACGTCCCCTTTTGGCTACTAAACTGAATTTTAGTCGCCAATTGCCTGTTTTTAGCTACTAAAATTTTTTTAGTAGCCAAAAAGCTTCACTTTCAGCGACCAAACTGTTTTTAGTCGCCAAAACACGTATAATCGGCGACCAAACTGTTTTTTAGTCGCCAAAACCTATACTTTTGGCTATTAAATTATTTTAGTCGCCAAAAACCATCATTTTTGGCTACTAAAAAACCTTTAGTTAGTAAAACCCATATAATCGGCGACTAAATTGATTTTTAGTCGCCAATAACTACACATTTGGCTACTAAATTGTTTTAGTCGCTACTAATTCCATTTTAGTCGCCGAAAATGGCACTTTCAGCGACGAAAATAATTTTTTTAGTCGCCATTTCTGCATTTTCTTGTAGTGGGGGTATTCATAATTTTTCAAAGCATAAGGGGCAATTTGTATTTTAAACAAATCTCAGGGATGTATTTATAATTTATTTAAAATAATAATAATTCTTATTTTTATTTATAAAAAATAAAAATTTTTAGTCACTTCCCAAACTGTTTTACTTTTAAAAATTCAAAAAACTATTAAATTTTTTTTTCAAACATCTAAAATCAAATAAATAGTCAAAAAAAAAAAATAACAATTCAACGTGAATGCCCAGAGAAAACAAGAAGAGAAAATGATGAGAGAGAAGAGTGAAAGGTTAAGTTAGGGCAGAAGAGTCACATTACCAAAATAGTCATTAGCCGTGCCATTAGACTAAACATATTAACACATAAATTTTTGGAGAAATTACTTTAACAGCGATACTATCAAAAAATTGTTATAGATTTATGAAAAATTTATAACTTTAATTATTAATGTGTAAAAACTTTATAATTTATTTATTTTTCCCTTAAAAAAGTATATATTGAATTGAATTTTCCCCTAAATTTTTATGTTGTGTGATTTGATAACATTTACAGTATACTATTTTTAATTTACAAAAAATATTAAATATGTTTATGTTTGTTTTGAATAAAAATAAATACAAAAAACATATTTGATATATAAATATTTTAAATTTTTATTTTGAAAGCAAAAAAAAAAAGGTGAAAATGAGTGGGTGTGGGAGGTGCTAGCGGTGGTGGCTAGTCATGTGAAGTAGTGCCAAAAAATGGTTGTCAATGGTTGAAAATGGTGATTGGTTGGCCGCCGAAGGTGGTGGCTAAAGGAAAAAATTATTGGTTGGTCTTTGGGCACTATATGGCCATATCCCAAGCCAATCACAAACTTCATGTCCGTTCATATTTCTCAATCACTTAACATAAAATTGTGAATTCCACTACTTTTACCAATCCCAATGCATGTGGAGCGTTATGTGACGCTACTCCTAGACGAACCAATAACTTCTCGGCTAATGGTAGTTAGTGTCAACAACACGTACGTGATTGACAATGTTGTTGGTGTTAGCTAGAGGTAATTGACAAATGAGGTCATTGGTGATGTAGTTGTTTGGTGGTTGTTTGGTGGTCATTAGAAAGCATTAGAGAAAAGAGGAAGATAATAATAATAATAATAATAATATTAATAAACAAAAAAAATTAAGCAAGTGTAAACCAACTTCTCTATATTTATAAAATTTAAAAATAATAATAGAAATCAAACAAGTTTTTATTTTTCATTTTTAAAATTTTTATAAATATATGTATATATTGAAATATAAACATTAGTTCAAAACAATTGGAGAGTGTCATTTTCTCATGATAAAAATAGTTCACCCGCCAAGTAGGCCAAGTTACCAAATTGGAAAGTCTAATGGAGAAAAAAATGAGGAAGACTTGGTATAAACAAATAATAAAGCCTCTGAATTTTTCTCTTATTGACTTAACTGATAGAAAAATGGATTGCTTGATTGATTCTATACAGGATCATAATTGTGTAGAAACTAAACAAGTCCTCAATGGATTCCATTACCAATCTACTACTCTCATCTTTTCTCTGTTCCATCTTAGTAGGCTCCACCACTGCAGTGAAAACAATATCCACAACTCAATCAGTTAAAGATGGCGACACAATAGTCTCCATTGGAGGAAGCTTCGCGCACGGGTTTTTCAGCCCTGGAAGTTCCAAAAACCGATACGTTGGCATATGGTACAACAAGATATCTAATGATTCCAGGACTTTTGTATGGGTTGCCAACAGAGAAACTCCTGTCACCGATTCCTCGGGCGTCTTAATGGTTACCCAACAAGCCATTTTCGTCCTCCTCAATAGTACAGAAAGTATTATTTGGTCTTCCAATTTGACAAAACCCGGGAAAAACCCAGTTGCAGAGCTCCTGGATTCAGGGAATTTTGTTCTGAGAAATGCTGATGATGATAACCCGGAGAATTATTTATGGCAGAGTTTTGACTATCCGACTGACACATTTTTACCCGGTATGAAGTTTGGAATTCACTACAAAACAGGGCTTGATATGATCTTTGGTCGTGGCATAGCAGTGATGATCCAGCTCAAGGAGATTATACTTACAGTCTGGATTCTCATGGATTTCCACAGTATTTTCTCAGGAAGGACACTGTGAAGGTGTTTCGATCAGGGCTGTGGAATGGTGTCCGATTCAGTGGAATGCCTACCATATCTTCAAACCCCATTTACAATTTCACTTTTGTGTTGAATCAGAATGAGACTTATTTCAATTATGATCTTCTCAATAGCTCAGTTGTCACAAGAATGGTGATGAATCAGGATGGTGTTCTAAGGCGCATGAAGTGGATAGAAGGATCATCCACCAGTTGGGTTGAACACTTGACTACAGAGATGACAAATTGCAATACTTTTGCATTTTGCGGTCCTTATGGTCTCTGTACTGTTAATAACTCCCCAGAATGCAGTTGTTTGCAACGATTTGGACCGAAATTTCCTAAAGATTGGGGTACGGATTGGTAAAATGGGTGTGTTCGAAGAACACTCTTGAATTGCAGTGGTTTTAATGGAGATTAGTTTTGGAAGTACTCCGGTGTTAAAGTGCCGGATACAGAAAATTCACGGTTCAATGTGAGCATGACCCTTAAGGAATGTGAGACCATGTTTTTGAAGAATTCCTCGTGTATGGCTTATGCGAATTCGGATGTAAGTGGAGAGGGAAGTGGGCGTTTGCTTTGGTTTGATGAACTTGTTGATATCAGAGTCATTGAAAATGGCCAAGATCTCTATCAGAATGGCTGCCTCTGAATTTGGTAAGAATTTCTTACCCATTAAGAGCATTGATGCTATAAAATTTTTAGCCCTCTTCAAATTTAGTCCTCCAAACATGTTAGGTCTCATTGAATCTAGATTTGCATGATCAAATTCATTATCTTGCTCATTCTCGATCGTATATCAAGCTATGTAACCTGTGCTTTTCTTAGTTTTCTGTACTCATCGAACACTACACATAACGCAAACAATCACAGCTGATGCTAATATATGCATATTAATTTCCACAAAGGATTTTGATATATAAATTTTCATGTCTGAATTCGGTTTCAAATTAGGAGAAAAAAAAAAAAAAAAAAGAAAAAAAAGGAGAGTTACAATAAGTTTGCATCATCTTTATTGATCACACATTTCATTTGAGTAGATAAATTGGGATGAAATCACCATATAACCGACCTAGAATTTCTTAGTTTCCCCAAATTAAATGATTTTAACTATATTGTTTCAGTATTAGGTCAGGCTGGCCACAATTGGAACGAGGCAAAGACGATCATAGTCATCTCAGTAGTCTTAATAGCAACACTTATTATTGGCCTTGGCATTTCATCGTACATTTCGAAGAAGAAGGGTTGGACATAGAGAGAAGGTAATAAAAATTAGTCATTAATTCTTCAATACCTCACCTTTGTAGGTGTTCTTGCGTGTACATATACTTATTTTGAACAAATTGCGTCATTTAAATGTTCTCGACACCCCCTTTTTGCAGGAAGAACAATAGATCATCCTGAACAAGGTTGCTACAAAGAATCCCAGAATGAAGATATAGAATTACCATTATTCCACTTGGTTACAATCACTAAAGCTACAGATTACTTTGCAATCAACAATAAGCTTGGAGAGGGTGGATTTGGACCTGTTTACAAGGTAGCAATATTATAGATACACCAACAAGAGTTTTCAATATCCGACCTTGTTTTAACAAACAAAAATGGTGTATAATTTTCTAGGGTATGTTGGAAGGGGGACATGATATAGCTGTGAAGTTGCTTTTGAAGGATTCCAAACAAGGAGTCGATGAGTTCAAGAATGAAGTTATTTGCATTGCCAGGCTTCAGCATCGAAATCTTGTAAAGCTTCTAGGATATTGCATTCAAGGAGACAAAAGGATTTTAATATATGAATTCATGCCCAACAATAACTTGGACTCCTTTATTTTCGGTATGGCTTTAAGCTTCTAGGATATTGCATTCAAGGAGACAAAAGGATTTTAATATATGAATTCATGCCCAACAATAACTTGGACTCCTTTATTTTCGGTATGGCTTTCTTATACATACTCGAGAAGTTAACTACCAGCTAGAAGCTTGGTTTAACTTGAGTGAAAAATTGAACAGATCGATCACAGAAGATGCTGCTGGATTGGCCTAAGCTGTGAGAACCTGAATATACAAATCAAATAAATAATTAAGTAATAATTATTTTACAAACCTAACATATTTTGCTTGTGAATCTTGAAGTGCAAATTAAATACTATTAGACGAAATTTTAATTAATTTTAAACTATAAATAAATTTGTTATGGATGTCCACAATTTTAAAAGCTAATAATAATAATTATAGATAATAAATAAGAGGGGTTGTTAATAATATATAAAAACAAAAGCCCTAACCCTTATTATAATTGTTTTCCACAACACATTCAACATATAGCAGCCACGGGAGAGAGAGAGAAGAAAAAAAGAAGTTGCAATCAAAAAAGAACTTTTGGGTGTGTGGTAGGTTTCTAACTTTCTTCTTTCTTTCTTTCTTTCTTTTTTTTTTTTTTTTTTTTTTTTTTTTTTAATCCTTATTCTATTTTATGATTTAATTCATTGATGGAGAGGTTGTAGGTGCATGTATTTTGTGTCTATATATATACTATTAGAAAATCTGAGGAGTTAAATTCATGTATAAAGAATGGGTGTAATTCTTAGTTTAAAAATTCTGCAGAGTCACAAACTTTAAAAATCAAGAAACCATATCAAACGAATAAATTTTGAACTGTAATTTTTATAGTAGATTAATTACAGATTGAATTGTATACCAGAATTTTCTTATAATTTTTGGGAGTCAAAATCCATATAAACTGATGCCTTAAAATCTGTCCAGAAAACTGGTTTAAAATAGTAACTTCGGAAGTGTCGTTCTCTTTGGATATAAATTCGAAAATTATCAAATCGGTGTCATTAGAACCGGTTACGAGTCTAGTTTCTTCAATTTTTGTCCTTGCATTGATTGCTTGTGTATACTAAGAGAACCATTAATTTCTTTAAAGTGCTGCAGAAAATAACCTGTTTGGGCATAATTAATTGCAAATAATTATTTTGTTAAGAAAATCAAGTGATACCAATTGGGTTTGAAACCTAGGATATATTAGTTGTTATTTGGAGGGTTTTGGAATTTTTCGAACGGTGTAGAGTGGGTTTTTAATTTTCAGAGTTAGTGAACAGTTCGGGAAAACCTATCAAAAATTCTATTTTATCTCAAAGTCACATTTAATTAAGTTTCGACCGGAACCCATGTCTTGGGCAATTTGAGATCTTGAAGAACATGAACTTACGTATTATTTAAGTGTAACGGTGAGTGGGGTTGAGCTGTGTTAGTGCGCTTAAGTGTGGGATACTTAGTTTATTATTCTCTTTAGTATTTTTAAATTAGTAGTGACGTGTAGTTTTCATACTTGGTTCAAGGCACTAGTTGGACTTTCATACTCTATTCGAGGATTATATTATTTCATTTTCAGGTAAGTAGTTTCATGCTACATATTTTTATAAATGTTCCCCTACCCTGAACTGTTGGAAAACTAAATTGTTGTTTCAGAACTAAACTGTTTTGATAAATTATTATATTATCAATGGAATTAAATTATTTCCAAGACATGTGTAAACTTGGCATACTGTAAACTATTTGTTATGGTCTCATGTTTATAATGGTGAACTACCATATTTTGCAAAACTATTGTGTATTGATTATTGGTACCATTTGTATATTTTAGTCCAGGGAAATTATTCCACTGTGTGTGGTGACTCTAGCCACTAGGGAACAGATTCGGGTTGGGCCGTGATGACTCTAGTGCTCAACGATTGTAAGGAAAAGACCTAGGCTAGGCTAGGTGACCTTCAATCGGATTGTCTTAGAGAAAAGGCCCGAGTTGCCACCTCGAGGATGACTTTTGGTTCGATATTGGATCCAACAGGCTTATTGCCTTGAGAACTGTGTGGCATGTTATTTGTTATTGTTGGTATCTAGAAAATTATTGGTGATCATGTTGTAATATGTATTAAGTGGAAAATGTCATTTATCATGTTCTTGAGAGACATGAGTATTTTAACTGTTAAACTGTGGAACCTTCTTTTTGAAACAAATTATCTTTATCAAAACTGTATGCCAATTTAGTTTCTGTGATATGTATCTTATTTTGGAATTGAACCTTGTTTTCAAAACTGTATTTACTATCCATATTGCTACTCACTGAGCTATCAGCTAAATTAGTTGTTTCCAGGTGTTAGAAGGACTTAGAGTGGACTCATGGCGTAGCGGGGACTCAATTGCATGGACCTCTAAGACATTCATTTATTTTGCTTTAGATTGTTATGTCAAGTTTGTGCATATTTCTTTTTATTTTTATTGAGGTTCATTTAGGATTATTTTGACATGTGGGCTGTTTATATGCCATAAGTTTAGATGCTATTGATTACGGTTGGTTTTGCCGTTTATACTTGTGGCACGTCACTGGATTGAGTTTGGTTATAAATTACTGGACTATTGTATAGTTGTTCAATGTGATTATGGATTTGTGTTTAGGCTTACATGTGCCTTACGCTAAGACCTTGTGGGCCACGGCCGGTCCTACCCGGGTTTGGGGTGCCACATAAGTGCTTCCACATCATCAATGGAATTGCTCGAGGGCTTCTTTATCTTTATCAAGATTCCAGACTGAGAATTATCCACAGAGATCTAAAAGGAAGCAATATTCTACTAGATCATGAGATGAACCCAAAAATATCAGACTTTGGCTTAGCCAGAATTTTTGGAGCAAACGAGACGCAAGCAAATATGAGAAGAGTGGTTGGAACATAGTAAGAATCTTCAAACCAATTCAAAATTTTCCTCCTTGAACTATATAAATTGGTTTATTTGTTTCCCCCCCCATAATGGCTACATGTCGCTTGAATATGCAATTAAAGGACTCTTCTCAGTAAAATTCGATATATTTAGTTTTAGCATTTTGGTATTAGAAATAGCGAGTTGGAAGAGAAACAGGGGATTCTATCACCAAGACCACCACCTCAACCTTCTTAGGCATGTAAGCATAGAGTTTAATAATATAATCTTACAAAAGAAAGTTACGGAATGATGTAGCAATGATATCTCTAAAACTAATTTAGAGCCATTTCAAAGGGTGTTTAATACAAAGGCTCAATTCAGCAACGTTATTCTGTATAAAAATTAAAACAATCTCTTAAAAGTGTTTCTAACTGTTCAAGCATGGAGATTATACAAGGAAGAAAGAAAGAGAGAATTGATTGATGAACCAATACAAAACTCATGTAATCTACCTGAAGTGTTGCATTCGATTCATGTTGGTTTATTGTGTGTGCAACAATGGCCAGAGGATAGGCCTAGCATGGCAAGTGTGGTTTTGATGTTGGGTGGAGAGGGTGCATTGACTCACTCCAAACAACCTGGTTTTTTCACTGAAAGGAATCTGCTCGAAGTAGAGTCAACAAGAAGTGAGGTTGAACAATGTTCAGCAAACTTGGTCAGCACAACAGTGGTAGAGGCATAATAGAAGACAATTCCTGATGATGTTTTAATTGTTATGGTTGAAAACCTTTGAGTTTGTTTAGCTAACGAACACAATGTGAAAGGAATGTTTGTTTTTGGAAGTTTTCCATATAGTATGTAGGTTTTAGGGTTTTTGTCTTCTATATATAGGTGTTATCATCATTGTAAAGATATCAGAGTTAATACATATAATATGTTTTGTTCTTCCATAAAACTTACAGCATATTTGTAGCCTTTGAATGGTGTTTCACATATGTATTTGAATATAGAGAATGTGAAATCGCATATGTAACACTCCAGGATTTTTCCTTCTGCTTGAGCGCAAGAGTTGACGCTTGAGCATTCTTGTGAGGCTCCTAATACTTTTTCAGTCTGTTCAAGATTCTGAGAGTTGTGAATTTCTACTTGAGTGCAGGAGTGGTCGCTCGAGCGGTCGGCTTTGTTGGTCTGTTGGTTTGAGCGCAAGATTGGACGCTCGAGCGGTCTACCTAGTTGAGTCTAAATTTCTGAGACTAGTGGGATTGCTCTTGACCTTTTTATTATTGTATTTGGAGTCTCCTTGTTTTATTTTGGGACATTGGTTAAACTGGTAATATGGTGGCAAAGTAAGATTAGATCCAAAACTTTGATTTGGATAATTTTCTTATGAACAACCATCACTCTTTTGCCCTCTTCTTTTTCCACACTTTGAATTTGGGTGTAAGGCTAGTACCATTGGAGATCTTGTTTCTGGAGCTTCGATTTGGACACAAGAACGACCTAAAACGGAGTTCGGATGAGTGAGTTATGCCCGTTTGAAGTTTTAGTATCTGTGCTGGAAGCAAGTGCGCTCGAGCGCATAAAGTAGCGTTTGAGTGGACTGCACGAATTCAGCAACTTAAAAAGTGATTTTCTAGATCATTCTCTCCACTTTTCTTTTCTCTCTTCCTTCCTCTCATCCTAAGTCCGAAATCCCTTGATTTCTTGACCCAAATATCTTTCATTTCTCAAAGTTTTGACCAAGATGTCTTACCAAAGAGCGAAGAATACTTGAAGATCAACATTTTCAACCGATTGGATTTTGGATTTTTGAAAGGATGCTCTTGATCTAACTTCTTTGCTTGATCATTGAGGTAGGGGTTTCTAGTTCTCCTTCAATACTCTCATTTATAGATAGATTTGTGGTATTTTCTTTACATAAACACAAAATTTATATTTTTAACCATATAGTGATAAATCATAAGATTGGGGGTTTAGGGTTTGAAATGTTGGGGTTTAATTTTTGGGTTATGATTATCGGCTTATGAAATTGGGTGTATAATTAATAGAAGAGTTGGAATAAAAAGTGTTTGGGTGAAAAGCTTTAATTTCTCTTAATAACCCTAGTTTGGCTCATGAAGACGGTTGATGGTTTTGTTTAAGTTCAAAGTAGT